GATAGATTGCACGTGTTTGTACATCCGTACAACCTTCGTTGGTAGCTCTTTCTTTCTCTCTCCCGGCGTTTTCCCAATAAAGCACTCATCGACTCTATCGCCAAAATGAATTACTTTGCTCGGCAACTTTCACCTATTGTTTTCAAAAAATTATTGGCACCCACGAGTGTCCCGTCGTTACGAATAATGGTGTCGAAAATTATATTACTTTATTGTGGTTTTTTTTTCTCCCTCGAATGGTTCATGAAATAAAAGCTCTGGCTCTAAAATAAACAGATGAATTATAATAGTATGAAAATTGCTGATTTGAAAAATAATTCTTACTCGAATAACTACTGTACTCAAAAAGTTATACCAAAAGTAGTACGTTTTTAATTTTTTTAAATGTCTCCTTTTTTCGATAATCTTTTACTTTACACGTCACAAAGGAGTATCAGTATAAATTACTTTCAAAAAAATACATTGAAATGATTGAGTGCGAACCAAAACGTCCAAAATTAAATTGTTGATTGATGAAATCTAGTTCCGTTTTAGCTAATATTTACTCAAAACAAATAGCCCATATGTCTATATGTATTATAGACATGTCAACAAAGAAAAAGAGTTCATACTCCTCGCATCACTATAATAAACAAATATCACCACTTGAAGGGATAGACCATCGAGGATCCAAGCTAGTATTACGTAATTGAGTAGAAGCAGTGCTTTGCGCGATGTGTAAAAACAAGCGCGGTAATAATGATGCTCATGCTGATGATGACCTGCCTTCTCCCTCTTTCTATCCTTGTCTCTTCGACTTTGCGAATCTTAAATTCTGCGGTGCTTCGATCGCTTATCGATTTGCAATTTCCAATCGGGGCTCATTATTCCCCCCCACAGAAAGGGAAAGAAGAAGAGCTGGAAATAGAATGAGAGGGTATATATTGTGTGTTATGTGCACGTGATACGTACTCGTCAGAAAACTGCCTTCATTAGGGCCTCGATTTCCCCCGAGCTAATTCGCAATATTTTCATACATCAGGTGTATAACATATTATAATATCAACACCTTTGGTTTTTTTTTTCTTTTTTTTTCCCCCTGTGACTTTGGCGTAAAAATTTATTTGACTATTAAATGCACAAGCGCGTGCGTAACACACATTTTACGTCGAGTAATTACGCACCGCGAAATTATCTGGTATTTGTTTCCCGATACCGTGAAAATTTTGTTCATTGCGTTGAGATATCAAACTTCCAAGTGTTTCACATGGCATCTTCGATATTTTATAATAGTTTGAAGCAAAAATACAAGTGAATCACGCACGAGTTTTATTTGTCCAATTATTTTTCGTGTAAGGCTCCGGTGGTACATTGAGCCGTGTCGTGGCTCGTCCTTTGAGCTGCTCGCAATTCATCAAAATAAGCTCACTTAGAGGTTCCCCTTCCCTCAACTGTTCCCGAATTTGTGGTGATTAGATTTACATGAGGAGGATTCCCCTTGATCCATCCTGTTTTTTTTTTTTGGGAGTATTAAGTAATTGATACCGCTCTTTCTTTCTTTATAATTTATTGATAATACCAAATCCAATGTGCACGAAATTCCATTGTTTCCAAAATAAAATGAGAGTGATTGATACGAGGCAGTAAAATCGACTAAGCCCTCGTTTATTGCATTTCATCGTCAAAATCTGCCGGCTCAAAGATAATTTCGATAACGAAAATTGCGTGAACTCAATATCATGGATCAATTGTTATTACTCGCTCATTTGAAATTCTTTTTTTTTTTTTAATTAATAGTGATCCATTCGTTACACATTATTATCACTTTTGCATTAAGCGCAGGTACAAGATAACGCGCGTATACACAAAAGTGGCTTTTACACTGAAAATTGGATCATTAATTGTTTGGAATCAATTGAAATGTATATGAATCGATGATCGAATGTATATATATATATTTGTATGACTATACCCGTTTATGTTTTCTGAGACATTTTTAATAGCATCTACAAAGTAAGTTGTTATAGACAGTAAAGTACGCGATAAAAAGTGCAAATAACGAAATTAGACGCTCGAAAGTTGCGCATTAGCGTCGCCCGATGCGAGTATAATAAAATTGAAAAAACGCTGCCTCGGCGATTAAGTAACTCATAAGTTAAACAACCTCCTTGGGCTCCTCCGCGGCAAAAGATGGAGCGAAATGAAAAGTATGTATATATGTATAATACGTCGGTAACTGCCGGCAAAAGTGTACGAATGATCTTTGGCCGGGGATGTTTCCTCCTCGCGTTTCGCGAATAAAACTGCGAGACGTGTTTGTCCCGACTGATGGGGATCGAAAGAAAAATAAAACGCTTCGACGAACGACAAAAACAAACGGAGGCGAATATTGTGCGGAGCAGTTATCAACTTTCGAAACAGAGAGGGAGAGACCCGCAATTACACAACACAAAGATCCAGTTATTCGTTCGTTACAATGAAAAAATAAAAAAATAAAAAGGTATAACGTTGAAACGGGCTCGGCTCGTCAGTCGCATGGAATCCCTATACACACACGTACACCACCCGAGTACAGAGCCCGTGCGCCGGGTGTGTACACCGTGTACGTTATACAAAGTCGCGGTAGTGATAGTAGTAGGACTGAAACCGCGAGCCCCACCCTATATGAAAAAAAAGTGGAGTTCGACTATTCCTTTATTCCTTCATAATCTCCTATCAAGGCTTTGTCGAAACAAAAAAAGAGGAACAGTAGTAGATGCGCGCATTTTTACATACTATCACCCACGCGCGAGCTCTAGAGTCATGAGTATGTACGAGCTTAGCTCTAGTGGTGGATAGCTTCGACACGTATAATAATATACTCCGGAGGTATATGGCAACGTAGGCGGACAAGAGGACACGACACGGCAGATCGAGTTTGGGTACCATCTGTCTCTCATATGAATTGATTGACTCGTGAGAGGAAAAGAGGGGGGGGTGGTATTACCTACAAACTCGGTCTGCCGTGTCGGACTCTCCCCCATTTGGGTGAATACACCTCGTACGTTGGACTTGCGCTCGAAGGTGGATGGGGGTTTTCTTATCGCGGGGTACTGGGGTAAGTGGGAGCTGAGCCTGGGAGATTTCGATTTTCCGAGTTTTCACGCACGTTAAGTCGTGCCTGAATGGGTACTGGGAAAACGACCGAAGCTGAAAAAAAAAAAAAAAGATCTCTACAATAATTCCTTTGATTGCTTACACTAGAGCAAATTTTAGATGAACTGTGTTGAAACAACTCGTTCAGGTTTTCTACCGATCCGGAAATTATCAGAATTTTTTTTTTTTTTTTAATGATGGTAACCTGGGAAGTAACTTTGAGATTCCCAAAAAACTTAAGGTCTTCCCATTATGTATGATAGAGATTTAATTGGTTTTATAATCTGATGGTTGAAAAAATGAGTTTGACTTGTTTGCAATAACATGTTTCAAAACAATGAATTGAATGACCAAAGCCCGCTTTAATTAATTATCATTATCATTATAACTAATAATATACTCTGTCGTATTTCTTCAATCATCAAATTGTTTTACTCCCGAATAAAACATCTGGGAAAATTTTGGATTACACTCCTGGAAATCAAAAATACTTTTTGAATTTAGAATTGTCACCTGTTCGTTCTGATAAGTTAAAAATTAAAACAATACGCTTGAATTTATAATTCGCCCGCAGGAACGAATGAGCTGGTAAGCGTATAATATACACAGGGTTGGACACACTGCCTCCGTTCATACGTATAGCCACAGGGTGGATCAATAAAGTTCGGGGGTGAAGAGGTGAAGGAGGAAAAGAGGAGGAAGAGGCGCCGCGGCGCTCCGTGTTGTGTATAGGAAACCTCGATTGACACGCCGGTGACTCGGTCGAGGGACGGTAATCGGGACCGGGTTGCCCCGCGTATGCTTGAATTACAAAAAAAGTGAACGACAAGTCCTGTCGATTTCTTTTGTTTTTTCCGTCCTTGCATCTGCAGTGGGAGCTTTTTTAGTGGGTCGTCACGTGGGCGGTGTGAGGGGGGTACCCTCTTGGGTTAGCAAGTTACCCCCTTCTCTGTCTCGTTTTACCCTTCGTTTGTCGACTTTCTCAAGGAGGTGTATAGTGTAACACGCGCGAGTCCTCCCTCGCTTGATTTCTCCTTCTCGTAAGGAGCTCTCGAGGGGACCATCAAGTACGCTCGTTTGTACTTTTTTCGGCTTTTTTCGTTGATTTGAAATTTTATTCCTGATGTGACCTCCTCGGTTCTTGCAAAACTATTCATTTACGTAAAAAAAAAAAAAAAAAAAAAAACATCCACACACACTCAGTGTGGTTTAGCGCAAAAATCTGTAGTGAATCATAAAGATAATAACGCCGCATTTACTAGATGACCGCGGTATGATTCACGTTTTTTTTCTCTCTCTTATTTACGATAAAATAATAATAAAATCGATGACTCTCTCCACTCAGTGACAACGTACACTGCTTCAATTAACTTTTTTTTTTTTTTCTTCATCCACTGCTTCATACAGATAGATCAGTGATCGTTTGGTTTTTTCGTATCAGTTTCATGGTTGTTTCTATTTTGGCATTGTAAAAATCCTCTTGAACAACCAAAGATGTTTTGGGTTATTCTAACTTATTATTTGCCTGGAAGCAAAATATGAAGAAAAAAAAAAAGGCGTCTGTACACCCCAGGGCTTGTTTAAAAATCGTAGCAAAGACAGAAACTCCGAAATGATAATTTGTAGACAATAAACCCTCGAATGTGGGGTGACGGTCACTTTGCAGTCTCGCGACGGTCCCCACGTGCCCATAACACAGCCGGCACCGGGGACCGGGGAGAGCTCCACACACACACACGTGTATGGTAGAAGGTACACACACGTATGCATTAAAATATATTATCCCGGCCGCTCCTCTCTTCTCCTAGGCACGAGCGCAGCAATGAAAAGCACACTTGGGAGCAAGCGCGCGGCGGCGTCGTCGGCGGCGCTCCTCTCTCGGGCTGGCTCCCTTGCTTCAGTCGCTGTGCGGGAGTGGCCACCGAGGGATGTGCGCAACAGTGCCGTGAGAAAAACCAAAGACCGAGCGAACGAACGATAGACAGAGATAGCTAAAATCAGTCGAGTCGAGCCGGCGTTATACACATATACATTATATACAGTCGTGAGTGTGCGTGTGTGCGTGTACTCTTGTGCGGGACGAGGAAGAGAAAAAAGTTGGATTCGTGACGTTGAAAATTTCTTCGTTCTGCGGTATACCTGATCATCGGTTGGAATTGGTACATTTGTACGGCAGCTGCACACACGAGAGACCTCGGGGAAAAAAAAAATATATATATATTTACAACAAATCCGCACGATCAGAAACTAAGTATACGGAAAAGGAGACGTATACGGCGCGAGAGTACACGGTACATTTATCACTGTGTATGAGTGTACGTCTACGACTGACTCTCTCTCTTTGCTGCCGCAGCCGCCGTTCGTTCGAGGGCTCGTAACGACAGCGACGTCGTCTAGCAGTGCGATTACAATAACTACGCTAGTGCAGGTGTACAGATAACAGGATAGTAGTGCCACAAGTACTGCTATACCAACGGAAGAGAAACGGAAAGAGAGCAGACCAGCTCCCCCACGCACGCAATCACGCATATTCTTCCGAGGGGGATAGCACGCACATAAAAAAAATATAAAAAAAACATAAACGTACGTGCTAAAGTATATACATACGTGTGTGTGTGTGTGTGTGTGTGTGTGTGCGTGTGTCCCCATATTCCTCGATGTAATCGCTTAACTACGTGTTCGCGTACACCCACCGTGTACTCCACCCGCGCACACCACCCCCGTACGGCATTTGTACATTTTTGGAGTCGCAGACATTTGCCTAGGCGGCTCTCCTCCTCGCCTCGCTGTCGTCGTCTGTCCGACATACCCGTCGTGTGTGTGTGTGTGTGTGTGCCTATACACAACGAATTCACACTCGCACGCGAGAGAGGAGTATGACGCACGTCCGTCGCGAGACTCGCGAGTCGAACGTACAGCCGAGTTATCTCGCTCGGGCTGAAAAAATACTTTTTTTTTTTTTTTTTTTTTTCTAATGTTATTTTCCTCTCTGCACCGAAAAACCAAAAGAAAAAATCGCACTGTCAATCAACGCGAGACCGATCAATTTGTAAGTCTCGAGTGATTAAAAACTCGAGTCTGTCGGTGTACAAAATCGAAACATGTCGATGTCGTCGTGCGTGCACGGCCCTATTATTGTATAGGTGCATTTTCTGCGCGCCTCCATCAACTCGATGCCGTTCGACTCGCGAACGGTCCATCCTATGTGGCTACGCGATGGGAACTTTGATGCTGTGTACTCGATTCATTACCAACACTTTAACCCTTGTTAGTTCCTTATTTTATTTTATTATTATTTTCAATTTTTTTTTTTTCACTCCACGGTACATGATAAAAATTACCTCTGCTCTCTTCCACACGATTTTTATATAGATTGGCTTATCGTATCCTCGCATTCCGGAGCACACGCTCGCGCATACATACACCTAAACCATATTATACCCACGTATCTCTCTCTCTCTCTCTCTCTCTCTTTCCGTGCATTCGCGTGCGCACGAGAGCGGCGCCGGTGTTCTCTTTCTCTCGTGTTCCCTCGTTCGCTTTCTCTCTCTCTCTGTTCTCGTGCTTTTCGAGAAAATGGCGATCGCACGAGCCACCGAAACGTGGGTCGAAAAATTACGTGCCGATCGTTGTTTTCCGCATCTCTATCCTCTCGAGACAGTAGACCAGGGCCCGGTCCGGTCCGTACAGCCGCGTATGGGGTTGATACGGCACCGTGGAATACCCACACAAACTCGCTGGTTTTGGTTCCTCCCGAAGCCGGCTCGTCGCTCGCGGTACTATCCAGCTAGGGGCACGTTACATACACACCGTGCTCCGAAATCGCAAAGTACAGCTCTACACCGGTGCAGCCAAACGCGCGGCGGGTTGTTGAAATGATCCACTCGAGGTTTGAAACACCCGTACGGGAGGTCCGTTACGCGTATCAAATGTCCGATATGCTCTTTTCGCCACCTCGTCGACATTCAACGCGAGAGGAGCAAGCAAAGAAAAAAAAAAGAGAGCGCCGAGAAGAGCGGAAGGGCGCTTCTCCGCATTATCGATTCTTTCTCGCCGGCTGCGGTATAGGTTCACGAGCGGTGGTGGCCCTCGGCTGTGATACACCCGAAACACATTTTGGGGCGCAAAAACGTCGGTTGTTCCCTTGGGTCCGCGGTGTTACACCTAGACGACGACGTCGGAGAAGGAGTGTATAGGTACACTTACAGGGGAAAACGCGCGCGCGCACTGCCCTCAGCTTCTCCGGGTGTGCTTATATACATACATGCCCTTGTTCCTTCTCCTCTGCACCTTCGTTCGATTACCAAGGGTCGGTAGAACGATTGAGTTTTTATTAATTAAACATTTCCCGAGTACAATATCTCGACCCGATGGCTACATACAATTGACGACGCTCCGGCGTATCGATTTAACGAACTCGCGGGAGTTATTCCTTAACGGCTATTTTATTACGGTTGCAGGGAAAATAATTTTAATTTACGTGGTGGTCAGGGTGTACGGTATATTAATAACGTTATTGTCGTCAGTGTGACGGAACACGCGATGTATCATTCGAGTCATAGGTGGGTATTTTTATGCATACAGTTCTCATTTGTTTCCAAGTGCGCGTGATTATTTAATTATTGATTAACAAGGCGTACAGCAGAATAACTTTTTTTCAAATAAACGTTCAGAGCAAAGTTGACTTTTCCTCGTTTGCTCGAACGCGTCGTTCGAATTTTGTTTTTGTTTTTTTTTCTCGCCGCTCTGGTGCGAAAGTTACGGCTATTCGATATTCATTCGGCAACGCGAGTATAGTCGTGATTCAAAGCTAATTGGTCGCGTATGGGCGGTGCAAAATGAAAACTCGAGTTTCTCGAAAGGAGTATTGATTTCGAGAGACGAGGGATTCTTGGCACCCGATCGAGTAAAAAACGTTTCCGCTTGACTCTGCGTTTTTTTTTTTTTTTATACCACGTATCGAGGGATTTTCAAGGGTCGTTTTGTAAATTTGCACATTCCGCTCGTGCGCGTGCCAATATTCGATTCGATGTTTGGCAATTTTTTGTAAAGACGTAAGAACTTTATACGTTTTACGAAAATGACATTCGCGTTGGGTGCGTGTAATAATATAATAAAAAGTTCCGGGAGAAAGATCCTCTTTGTCAATCTAATCTTGGACGTGCCAGCGAGACGACAACGGGGCGAGGGGGGCGGGTGGAAAAGCTCGAGCCACCGACAACAGCCGCGAGTCTCCTGTTCCATTTTTTTTTTTTTTATTTTTTTTTTTTTCCAATCCAATTGCGAGCACGTGTCGCCGACGCCGACTTGGGTCTAAAATAAAACTTTTTCGGGTTTGGTAGCCCCGCCCCTACGGACGCTATATATACCGCTTCCTTTTCAACAGCTGCCCTTGCCACCTATTCGTTCGGGATGTATATATAGGCGTTTCCAATTCTGCGACTCGAGAAGGCACCCTTGAATTAAACAGCGCAACGAGTCACCATCGCCAAAGCGCCGAAAGGATTCATAAATTTAATTTAGGTGCTTGTATAATATACGTTACGTGCGTGAAAAATCTGATGTGTTCGCTCGATGCCAACTGCAGGGTATATAATCCGATTGCCGAAGCGTTTTTCACGTCCACGCTTCTTGAAACATTCTTTAACGCGTGACTCACGCTCGAAGCGCGCACTTCCTCCTGCATCGCAGAAAGATGGAGAGAGAAGTACTGAAAAACAATCGGCAGATAAAACTCTGATGTATATATTATATACACTCTCGCGGTCGAGCTTCCAGCCGTGGGTGCTTTTTGTAATTATAACGAATGGAACTTCTTCACCCTCAAATCTTCAAAAACGAGAGAGCCAAGTGGGGGTGGGGGGAAAAAAGGTTGAGAGTCTCCTCGATCTCGTGACCTATCTCTCCCGGTGTACTTCGCGTGTTACGTGCGTCTACTTCCTTATCAGCCTCTATATGTGCTCCACGTATATACTCAGAGGAGGAAAAGAGACGCAGCTTATCTCCCGATCTCCTCATGTATAACGTTACAATGGCACACGTGACAAGATCTATACTAGTGTGTGCACAGGCACCCCCTGTCTTTTTTGCTGCTCCTATATCACTTTGCGTTTTGGTAAAAACATACTTATGTGTAATTACGAAGGTACACGCTACTTTTGAGTTTTCAGGTATTTGACGTTGGTGCGCAAATTTCGTGGGTTATCGAAGCGATAGCGCTATTTTTCGAGCTGTTGTTGTTGATGACGAGTCTTTCGGTATTTCTGAAGCTTTTTTTTTTTTTTTTTTTTTTTTTTTTTTGTTCATCACGCGGTGAGCTCACTCCCGGGAGGTGATGAATCGTGGCGGTGTCGTATCGCAAAAAGTGATGGTATATAGGTACGACACTGCACTTTTTTTTTTTAATTTCGTGTCACGTTGCATTGATTGGGCACAAGCGCTGTAATTACATCCAAATAACTCGTTACAACCGGAAAATCCTTACTTACCAATGGCAGTGGTGTAGCATGATGCATTTAAATTATTTATTCGACAATATAAGCTTGTACGATGCACCTTGGATTTTGCGGTTTTTTTTCTCTCTCTCTTTTTTGTACCCTTTCGGTGCGGCGAGAAGAAAAATTTCCAGCGCCGGACAGCTCGTAAAATTTTATAACGACTTTACAACTCAAATGAACAAAACACACGTCCATACACTTTAACTCGTGTACATCGTAAAAAAAAAATTGCCGTAGGAATATTTTTTGTGACGTGATACACTTTTCCGGAAAAAATCGTACTTTACCGTACGATGACGTTGTCCTCGATGCGTGTGTTTGTACTGCGCACACAATCATTAGAGCAACAGCAACGCGATAAAGATAAAAACTGTTTAAAAAGCGCATCAGATGCGTGTGTGTAGGTACCATTAGGAGTTCGTAACGTTGCACCACCCATAAGGTGATTAGGCGATGTACCATCGACCAATTATCTTGAAAAGACACTGCGTGTCACAAGTAGTTGTTGGTTGTCATTGGTTCTAGGAATAAGTGTTGAGGACGAATGAAAGTGTTCAATATTTACGACATGAATTTGCCTTTTACAAAATATATAAAAATACAGGTAGAAACTAAATTTAAAAATTATAGCAATGCAAGAGAGTTGGGAGAAGTAAAATGTTTGTTTTCTACGAAGCATTATTTTTCGTTACATACGTGCATCCGTAACTTTAAAAATGTTAAAACTTGTACACGATGATATTGTATAGCACCATACTTACCCAAATGAGTAGTTAATATTATATGTACACACGTATACCAATACGTAAAAAGAGAGATACCACGTTGTAAATATCTTCCCAAACTATATACTTACTCATACGTAGATGCACAATAATGAGCACAAACATATATGCGCAGAGTGGGTTATTTTACATACATATGTACGTATAGCTACACTCACGGGGACAGGAAGAGCCAACGCGCACGTTTTTCCCCAACGATGCATACAGCATATTCGATTCACACAATCGAATATGTAGCGGTCAATCGTCTTTTTAGATTTTTCATGCACGCAGCTTTTCACATTGCGCGTACTCCACATGGTACAGGTATACAATTGGAATTTTAATCGGTCGGCCCATAATAAATGTGTAGGCGCGTTATATGAATACGCCGGAACACAGGCAGTATCATCTTGCTGTCCTCTTAATTGGTGTACGGCGAATCGTCCGCTTCGAAATTCTCGGGACAACGTATACACATACATATGCTGTAGGAGTAACGAGCGTCGTTTTGTCCCCGCGCTCCCGATAATTGGCGCGTTTCGCGAACCGCCAACGGTTCGTTGATTAATGAAAACTGCGAAAAATTAAGCGCGGGTGATCGCTTCCGTTCGATTTTCCTTTCTTCCTTCAATGATCGGTACAGGTGCGCACGAGAAACTCGGAGAAACAAAAGTTCCATCGGTCAAGTCAACGGTGCTATCTTCGTCGTGTTTCCGTGTGTTTATCATCGCACACGATAAAATAAATTTGATTGCGCGAACTCCCTTCCTCTCCTCCCCCGTGTGCTTATTCGAGACTATGACGTCTCGACTGCGGTAACTGTTAAACAGCCGTGACGCCAACTTTTCAAAAGTCTCGGCCTTTTTTGTTTTTCAAGCGAGGCGCCAAAAATAAATGGCCCAGCAACGTTGCATCCGTTTGTCTGGCCATTGCATTTTATACATTGATTTTTCATTTAGCGTAAAAACGACGGGAAAAAAGAAAATTAATCGAGGGTCGTTTGATTATGTTTCTAGCCAACACACAATGTCCGTCGTCGACAAAGAGGAATTGGTGCAGCGCGCGAAGCTCGCCGAGCAGGCCGAGAGGTACGACGACATGGCCGGGGCGATGAAGTCCGTGACCGAGACGGGGGTCGAGTTGTCGAACGAGGAGAGGAACCTGCTGTCCGTCGCCTACAAGAACGTGGTCGGGGCGAGGCGCAGCTCGTGGCGGGTCATCTCGTCGATCGAGCAAAAGACCGAGGGCTCCGAGCGCAAACAGCAGATGGCCAAGGAGTACCGGGAAAAAGTCGAGAAGGAACTCCGCGAGATATGCTACGACGTACTGGTAAGTGCACATTATACCCTCTTCTCTCGTTTACTTTCAAGGGGTATATCAAGTCAGCTTATCGCCCCAATGACATTCCTCCACTAGCCGACTCCTACCTTTTTCACGATGGTGTAGTTACGTGTCCACCTAATCGGCATTAAATCGATTTCACTCATCCGCAAGGTGCATGAATCCAACGTACATAACCATCGTGGATAATACCAAACGATCTCCTTCTTACAGGGCGTGTCGATGAAATTAAAAGCGCAGACAAATATAGAGCGACTCGATGTCAATTGAAGAAATCCTCGTTGTACACTTCACTCTGTAACAGGAAGTCACGGAGCGTAGCGTCGTCTATGCCTGCAGTTCCGACGTAGAGGGGGGGGGGGGGGGGAAAGGGGGTTCAAAAGAATCGCTGGGGCCTTCCTTCTTTCATCCACAATTCGAAAGATCCAAGTGCTTGGGTGTCTGCGACTGATGTGCAGGCATGTGTGCCGTTCGAGGGTACCTATATGTAGGCCAGCGAGTTATTTTCAAGGCCGCGACATGTACACCGCTCTCGCGGGAGTGTAACGTAACTTTGCTCGCGGGAATTTAAGACTATTCGGATGCCAGTCGCGGAGGGCTCTTGCGAAACTTGTCGGTTGACGGGTCTCGCTCTAGAGAGAGAGAGAGAGAGAAAAATTAAGAGGAACTATGTTATCGCTGGCGCAGTGTACGTTGGTATACGTTTCGGTGAATTTTACCTAGCTGTCGCTGAACAATGACTTACGTACGGTTTGTTAATGAAACGGTATACGGATTTATCGCGATGTATCGCCGTGGAGATAAGATTTTTTAAAACGCGCCTCGATAAAGGCTAATCTGCACATAAGCGTGACGATTGACATCGACGAAAATCGACCTTCGTGTACGAAGCATGCGATAAACACCCGTAATTTGTTGTACAAATTCTTGATGAGGAAAAATGGGAAAAAAAGGAGCGGCGCTCGGGAAGGCATCCTCCGTCTTTTTTAAAAAGAATCGTGTCATTATTGTTTTTCGCAAACAAGTTTCTGACGTACGGACGAGCAAAATATCATTTTTCTCTCTTGCATATCGCTTCTTCCCTCGGCCACGCTGAGTAACATTTTACCAGGGGAGATGAGATTCAAGGAGACGAGATCACCTGCCCGGTTTGAATTTCACACGGATCGATTACCCTTTTTTTTCCCCCCACTAGTTTGAGTTGTACACCGTATTAAAATCTTCCGTGCACGCATATGCACTGTATACCGTGTTATTTCCTCGCCATGTGTTTATAAAAATAGTTTACTGTTTTTTTTTTCATCTCTGGCATACACGTATATTACGTGTGAGGCTTTTGTCATTCGTTCAAAAACCCGAGAGAAAATAGGTGCGCGCTTTTGGCATCGGACCATGTGACTCGTCTATCTTAGTATTTCATATACTTACTTTGTCTTTCTCTCGCGTTTCACGGTGGGCTCACATCTAGCACCACTGGGCCCAATATATATTTATAATGTGAGATGTAATAAACGTCTCTCACGAGTACATTGGTACATTGCTATGAAAAATGGTTTGCAATCATGGCACAATGTGTTAAAAGAAAATAAATTTTGGATGGAGAACTACTTGGTTGTGCATACATATAAACGAACTGCACGGTCAGTGGGGTGCCAGTGGTTATACTCCCTAAGTGCAGGTGTATCGGTTAAAGCGCGCACATTACACCCGTCCATCTATTGAACGCCCAAGACAAACACGCGCGCATACGTACGCTCAGTACGGCAGAGAGAGAATCCGGAAATTGTGTGGAAACGGAAGCGGATGCGACACGCCCGATCGACGTGTATGCCTCTCCCCTCTTCCCTTATATTGTCTTCACCAATACCGAGCACACCCACACACATGTGTGTATAAATAACATATACGTTTTGGTATACCTGATGGATCGGAGTGTGCCGCGCATCGTTGGAATTATTTTTTCTCTTCTTTTCTCTTTCAATTTATCTGTTTTCCCACTTACGACAATTTTGTTTTTGTATAGCTCACGCGCAGTGGAGAGCACACCTCTTTGATGGCTGCTTGTTTGATGGCTTTCACCCGAATTGCCTTTTTTTCCAAGGGCTTTTCATTGTACGGAACAATTGGAAACAAGTACACGCGAATGCAGCGCAGCTTGGTTATTCTCTTTAAGATATCTCGATATCCGCGTGCGGTTGCAAACTTTCTACCCAGCCCGTGAAAATCATCCATACTTTTGATCAAAGTGCAGCAACCAACAACACGCGGTCAATTTTATTTTAATTTACCGTCCGTCGATTAGCCATTGGTTTGCATCGGAACAAGTGCAAGTCAAATTGTATTCCCAGTTCGGGTGCGTCGTTTTTACCGAGGACCGACCGTGGAAGTAAAAGACGCAAGATCACCGTCGCTGAAAGTTTTTTTCTTTCTTTCGCATCGTTGCGCTGTATTAAATTGACTTCATTTCTACTGCTTCCTTTGGCCCCATCTAGTTTCATATTATACTGATGATCGATTTACAGAACTTGCACGTGTCTGTATATCTCCTGTAAGTACTTGGGTACGGTTCCCTTGCTCGTTTGGCTGATTAAACAAACGCGTGAAGAAAAAAAAATGTATTTGACATCCACTCGGGGGTCTCCGTCATACGTTTGGCATTTAAAAATTCCACCGGCCTCGGTCGGTCCGTGTTGTTTGTTTCTAGTTATTTTTGAGGAAAAACCGTGTTATGTTTTTCATGCTCCGATTTTTCACAGCGTCTCGACGTGGTTACGTTATTAATAAAACAAAATCGGTCGAGAAACGAGTATTGAAAATCTTGCTATTGCGATTTCCCGTCTGATCAGCCGTGCATTTGCATTGTTCGTGATGCGGATCGAGTGCAGTCGACAGGGAAGAAAAAAAAATATAGGCATACCCGTTGGCACTCCCGTGCGCGCTGTTGAATTAAATACTAAAAACAAAAAAGAATGGAAGTATAACACAACTTGGTTGAGAATGTAGTTCGCACACGCGCGGCCCCAGGGCTGCTGGGCCATTTCTTTTGAATTCGAGAAGTAATCTCCCCGTTTAATTAACCGGACCGTCCATCCATCTTTCTCTCTTTGCAGAGTGTCGTCTCGTTGCTCTTACCTTCGCGAGCGTCTGACCGTGAACGCTTGATTGAAGCGATCGTTACCTTCGGAAAATCGATAGCTCCGCTCCTCCAATTCTTTTTTTTTCCTTCTTCATAATGGTTTATGTAACCATTGCTGCTCTCCAATCCTTTTTTTTTTCCATCAAACACGTGCGGGCGTGGGTTTCCGATGGACGCGTGTGACGCGTGTGAGTTTCTTGGAAATTTGATTCTCTTTTGATCTACGTCGATCTTTCGAAAATCCAATATATATATATAGTAGACTGTTTTTCCAGCAAGCTGACTTGATCCCTAGGGTAAAAAGAAAATTTCAAGTTGTACCTATAAACACCTGTTTTTTTTTTTTTTTTCTTTTGCAGCAACTTCTCGACAAGTTCCTGATCTCCAAGGCTAGTAACCCTGAAAGCAAAGTTTTCTACCTCAAGATGAAGGGCGATTACTTCAGGTATCTCGCGGAAGTGGCCACCGGCGAAACTAGAAATGGTACGTTAACCTGCACACACTCCTCACTCCTGGAAATTCCCTTTTTCATCTTCTTGACCCTTAAAATTTTTTTTCCATCGGAAATCCCTGTGACGCTTAATAATACAATTATCGGTTCCGTTTTGCGTTCGTTTTGATGAAACAAGTAAAAATTCTCGATGGGAAATCTGTTCGTTTATTGAGTAGCTTGTTGAAAATTTTACAAATTAAATTCTTCACTTGGACGGCTGCCAAGAGTTTTGTATCCAAAGATTTGTGAGTATTATACTCTGTTTCACGACCAGAGACAAGAATGTCGCGTAATTCAACTTAATTTGAACCCAAAAATTTTGATCAAATAAAAGATACTCTGATCTAGTTTTCCGTTTTATTCGCTGTAACCGCGTATTTTTAAACTTGAAATGCATATTTGACAATAAAAAGTCTTTATGTCGACGTAAATGCCTCTTAAAGTAAAATGAAAAGTTATGCGTCTTACTCGTGAAATGTACTTGACATAAAACGTTGCTTAAGAAAGAAATTTTTTTTCATTTTTTCGAATTCCAAAGATTGCCCAAGATTCCTTTCCGTTTACCGAGTTAAAAGTAAAAGTTTCTACAAATTAAATCTAGACAGTTTGCCTTGGATAACACACACCTTTTGTAAAACAAATTAAACTTTCACTCTTTACCTCGGAAATCCTTTCCAACAAGTTACAAAGTATGGTATCACAACTAATCGAATACTAAATGAAATTGCTAACACCCTTACGGCAAAAAAAAAACAACAGCCGTCGTAGAGGACAGCCAGAAAGCATACCAGGACGCGTTCGAGATCAGTAAGTCCAAGATGCAGCCAACCCACCCGATCAGGCTAGGCCTCGCGCTTAACTTCTCCGTCTTCTACTACGAGATCCTCAACTCGCCGGACAAGGCCTGTCAGTTGGCTAAACAGGTACAAGCTGATACACCCCATCAAGAGGTGTCGGAGCAACAACGACGATTGGTCCAATGTGGCGCAAATTATTATAATCTCATTCTATGCCGAACACGCACATACACGCATTTTTTTACCAACTCCCCCCCCCCCCGTTTTTTTTCGATGATACCCCATTATGTGTCTTACGTTATATTTATTTGTTGTTACTTTATACAGAAAGTTTACTTATCGACGCTGGCTCGGGTTTTTGTTTAATGTAAAGTTTCTAGATTTGAGGCATTGCATGGATCTAATCTTCTCAGAGCAATAAAACATCTCGATCGTCGTTAGCTGCATATTCTACTTTTTTTTTTTTCATGCCTTAACGTGTAATAAATGTCTACAATTTTTTTTTTGTGCAAGAAATATTTATGACTGCAAGCTGTCTCGAACTCCTGTGTGATGTAATAAATCACAATACTCAAGTAAACAACGACGATCAATAGTACTTATCAGCTCTTTACTTTATATTCATTGCCTGCAGCGAGTACAAAAAAAAAAAAAAAAAAAAACATTTAAATATCAACTACCCAGCGTCGATAAAACAGCAAGAGTTTCATGTGAATATTCGCAATATGAATATTAGAGAGTAAAAAAAAAGATATGCGGTGGTCTTGTATTCGTGCATCGTTTACGTTACAGCAGTTGTGGAAGACTCGCAAAAAGCCTACCAGGAAGCGTTTGACATTGCCAAGGCGAAGATGCAGCCGACGCATCCGATCAGGCTTGGCCTGGCCCTCAATTTTTCCGTGTTCTATTACGAAATTATCAATTCCCCGGCGCGGGCTTGTCATTTAGCGAAACAGGTCAGACGAGAGAGAATGTGCCTTTTGTGCCAGAGTGAGCTTTTGTCAAAACTCATGAGTCATGCAGGCCGAGCCTTTTTTTTTTAATCGAATTTTTGGATGTTGTTATGGTCCTTTCTATCCTCTCTTTGACTATCCCTAATACAGTAACACGTAAAACTCTTTAACGAGTTGTGTCGAAATAATGTAGTTATAATAACAATAATAATAATAATAGTAGTAGTACTCGAGTTTAATAACTTGTGCACCTATATAAGTATGCATCTCTATCCAAGTCTGTCGATGAATCTTTTTTTAATTATCTAACGGTATCTTCCTAATTTCTCTACATGCTTACAAGTAACCCATAGGTTTGTGAGTTAGTAAAAGCAATGCGTGTGTGTTCTTGTGTCATTTAAATTTTCTTACAGCATCACGTGAGCGCCACTAACCATCGTGTGTTGTTCCTACAACTCTTGTACATGTTAAAAAATATGTAATAAAAATTTTCTTTGCATCAGTTTTTTTACTGATTGATAAAAAAAATTCAATTTTGTAATGGCACGTGAATAAGTCTAATCTCAAAATTTCATCGATTCATTATTATTTTTTCTGTTCACGTTTTGATGTAGGCGTTCGACGACGCGATCGCCGAGCTCGACACATTAAACGAGGACAGTTACAAGGACTCGACGTTGATCATGCAGCTGCTGCGCGACAACCTCACTCTCTGGACCAGCGACACGCAGGGCGACGGAGACGAGCCACAAGAAGGCGGCGACAACTAACCCTCATAAGGCGCGCGCGAGTCCTAAGAATTAAAGAAGAAAAAAAAAATCCTTCTCACCTCTCCTCCCAGTCCAACTATCCCATCCATCGTTCCCCTATTCCCCCTTCCTCCTACTCCTTCGACAAGAGAGAAAAAAAAAAAAAAAACACGTCATCCCTCCTTTTTAATCTTAATAATAAAAAGAAAAATGAAACGAGGAAGCAACAGCAAGCAGAGCAAAGAAAGAGCGTCCTATTCTCTACCATTTTTCCAACCCTACTACAACCCTCTTCATTTCCTAAACCATCTCAACACTCTTTTCTTTACCCTCGCCGCTACCTCCAGCAATACACACACCACACCACTACTACCGCCTTCTCGTTCCTTCCTTCGTATTTTGCGCACCTCCCCTTTATTTGTCAGATAACAAGAGTCATCAACACGAAACACACAAAAAACTATTATTACTATTATTATATATGATACATGGACTAAAAATTATGTTTTCTTTTTTCGATTGCTGAAATACATACACATACAAAAAAAAAAAAAAAATTTACACTAAAAAATTACCCCAGTGCACTCTTTCTCTCGGGCTCGCAGTGACCGGTACGCCGATGCGCTTTTGCAGGGCTGTGGCGTTCCGTCCTTGTTAGCCTCGAGGCTGTATTTATACGCTCCCCCTTACTGCGTGTTGTATTATCTCCACCCATTGTACACATATGCAAGTATGAGAAAATGAAAAATGGATCATCAGTGATGATAAACATCAAAACTCATAAACACGTAACATAAATGGTACGATATATTGAGATAATTAAGGAATACAAAATTTGTTGTAATCGTGCGATGTATTATTTAACAGCGTTGTCTCTTTGTAGAGACTGGATATTAAAAAAAAAAAATACAAAAAAAAATTGGAAAAATATATAAACGTGAAATCACGGACTCGTGGAAGCCTGTATATTCAGCCTTTGCACTAAATCTCTCTTCCCCTTTTCCCATCTACTGATCGTTCAACCTGTATGAATAAGTAAACTATGAGACCAACAAACAAAATCACAAAACATCCATTCATCTTTTTTATCCATTTTTTTTTTTTTTTTTTTTTCTTCATCTTCAAACGTTATCATTGTCTACTTGCCATTTTAAACATTACAAAATATTTCCCCAATTCCACTTTTAAATTTATTTTGAGTTGTTGACGAAATTTTGTGTTTCTCTTCTCTCGTTTTCCCTCTTCCTCTCCCTATCTTTCTCTCATTGTAGAAAGAGTGGAAGAGCAATGGGTTTTTCGTGTCTCACTTTTCTTGAAATAATGGAAAAAAATTAACAAACAGTGGGAGAAGGCGAGAAAAAGGAAATGATTGATGCGTATGAACAAACAGATGTAAACGTTGTGTTTGCGAGGAACACGAAGACTGGGAAGAAGAAAAGGTAGAGAGTCAGGAGGATCTTTTTTTGGATAGAAAGAACTTAGCTTGAGTTGCTAGAGAAACAAGCAAACAAACAAATCAATACTTTACTACTATAGAATTATTAATTAACGCCCAGCTGTCATCGTTTTTTCATTAAATTAAACAGATTCGCAAATTGTTCTTGCATGTATTTATTATTATTATTACTATTATTATTAATTAAAAAGAAAACATGAGAGAGGAATAAAAAAGATATTATAAGCAAAGAAGATGGAAGGAAGAAGCGCATGAGAAGGAGAAGCGACGAGATTATTGGTTATTTAAAAGATTGAGACCTGCTGCAAAAATTGTATCACGTGGATAAATTATTGTCACTTGATTAATATAATTTATAAATATTGTAATTTGCCGCTTGATCTCGCATTCGAAGAGCAAAACTCCAAACCTATTTAAAACTAAACGTTTTTTTATTACTTTTGTGTGTTAGTTGTCCGTCGTTATTATAAAAATAATTTATTACACTATTTTTCATTGATTGATATTTTCTCCTTTTCTTTTATTATTAATGAATGCAAAAGTTTATTAACATTGTCGCGAAAGCCTTGCAAAGACCAAACCAAAATCCAAGATTTGTATACCTCCATTGCTTTATAATGAAAGAGAGAGAGAGAGAGAGAGAGAGTCATGTAATCGTGCATTAAAATAAAAAATCACATTCGTTCAACGCAAGACAACAAAACAAATCATGTGCAAAAAGTATGCATAGATGTTGTTATATAGATAAATACGAGAAGATTATGTGAAAATTTTTACATGTGCATTACAGAAGCACACTTTGTAAGTCTACGATAATGGAAAAGACAACTAATTATCTCAAGCCTCCTTTCCATTGTTCAGGCAGTGAAATACACAACACTGAAATACAAAACAATCTCTTGAAATGTAATTTTTACTTTTTGTCGTTAATTATTCTTGCGGTCGTTATTACTTTTGTAATTACTTTAGTAACAAATTTAAATAAGGAAGATTAAAATTCCAGATAAAAAAAAAAAAAATTGAGTGTCTTTTAAAACTAAAAAAAAAATTTTCAATTATATTTATAAGTGCATCATTACGAGATAGAAAGGGAGTGAGAGAGAAGGTCACTTAATTAGCTGTGGATTGTTGCATTCTGATGAGATCTCTATACGTTTGCACGCACGTATATACGCACTTAGTTTTTGTACGTAATCAACTAAACAAAAAAAAAAAAAAAATATTTTACCAAGGGAAACAAAAAGTCGATGCCTCATTTTTATCATAGCTTAAAGCACGTATGAAAGGAAAAGAGAAACAGCTTTGGAAATAAAAGTTTTCAATCTTCTGTCGTTCGCTGTATCCGTACATGTATATTCGTTTATATGTACATAAAGGACGATCACCTTTTATATGTGAAACAAAACAAAAAAACATCTTTCAAGTAAGCCACGTGTGTGCATGCATATGTATGTTCAAATTTGTGACTGCGTGCGGATGTCTTTAATACGTAAGAAAAAAAATCCTTCCTGAAAGATAATAAATGATAATGGAACATAATTATGTGTTAAAAAACCACCGCGTTTTTTCGAAGATAAACGTTCTATTGTCGTGATATCGATATGTTTCGGTGTATCGGTGTATTTGTCTCACAACATGAATTAAAAGTCACGCAGAAGTGTTTTAAAGAGAAAATGAAAAAAAAAGGAAATAATATTTCAATGAACCACACGAGGTGTGTGAGCCTGACGAAAAATCTGTGGTATAAAACCAAAATTTGATGTCTCGATCGATGTTGCTGGATGGATAATCTTTAAATATAAAAATTAATAAAAATCAAAGGAAATCTACAAAGGATTGACACAATTGTCCACGCTTTTGGGATACATATTAGGTGCCTATTCTTGTATACGCATTGATGGAAAACAATGTCGAATGTTAATTCTGTCATCTCTTTTTGAGAGAGTGCGACGAAACGAGGAAGGAAAAAACAAAAAATGTGCAGGATGAAGGGCCCAAGGATCAGTCATATAGTCGTTTCTTTCTCTCTCACTTTCTTCGTTTTTCTCTGCACTCGCCACCTCTCCTTGCTTCCTTTTCCTCTTCTCCTTTTTAACATACTGTTAAATCGCGCTGACCATTTTAATTATTTTTACCGAGTTTATCCTTTTTTTTTTTTTTCCATGTACGCACATGTGTATGATGTATTTGTATACGTATGACATATTATCATGTGCAACGTATGTGCCGAAAGCACGCGCGCAGTGTATCTCGTAAAATTTTTAAGTTTCTATTATTACTTTTATCTTTTCCTTTGCATAGAAGTGATATTAGAAAAAGAAAAAAAAAGTTGCCTTCCATCGCTAATTTCCTCCCATTTTTTTACATATTTAAGTACATCGCACCTAGAACCAAACATGAAAAAGTATATTTAGTCAAATGAAAAAAAAAAAATCTCAACAAACGATGCCTTGTCAGCGATGCGCACAGACAGCCGAAGTAAACAATGCATGCAAAGATGTGCTTGTTTCTTGTTTTGAGCTTTTACTTTTTTTTACAGGAGCAAGTTTGCAATGGCAAAATTCGAATGCGCGCGCGTGTGTTCGGATTTTATTTTTTTTATTACCTCATCGTTGCCATTATCATCCTATTCTACCCTTATCATTATTATTATTTTTTTTTATTTATTATACACATACTGCGATCATTTTTTAACCAAGAACAAGATGTATTGATTAATTGATTATTATCAGTGTGATGTGACGAGATAGAACTTAAAGAAACGGTAAACAGCATTTGGTGGTAGGAAAAAAGAACAGAGGTATGAGCGACCAAAAAAAATTTACAAGACTTGTTACCACTACAGTCACCAAAGTTTATTTAAACTCACCACGTCTTTTTGGATCGAATGGAAAATCCAAAAACAGGCATAAATAAAATTACGTTGTTCTCTATTTATAACCATCATCAAACCATCGTAATTGTAAATTATAATGATAATTATTATTATAAACGTTTACACAAAATAATAAATTCTGATAAAATGTCTGAAAAAAACAAGGCTTATACACATGCATTATATAAATATTTCTGAAATTTTTATTTTTATTGATTCAATAGAGAGAATCAATAAGTGTCTAGACCTCAACGAAGAACGAATGGTCAGGATATAACCTGGAGATCAAAGTATTTTGAGTTTTTAACATTTATAAAGTTTTCACTCAGTCTTCACGACTTTAAAAAATTGTAAAAAAGAAAATTTTTTTTTAGTTCGTGTGTTAAATATTATTGATTATTTCGAAATTTCAAGATTACATCAACACCTGCAATGGTAATATTTGTATAAAAATTGTCAAATGTTTTTTAATTTCAGTACGAATAATCTACTTTTTTTTAGCTTGAGCAAGTACTTATCTTTTGCTTGAATTTAATTTTGATTTCCGCCGTAAAGATGGAATGTCTTGCGTTTAGTTACTGCATAATAAAAGTATTTTTTTTTGTGTTTCTTTTTGTTGTGGTTTTTAAATAATTTTGTTGCCGGTAGAATTTACTTCCGAGACTACACAGGACTAAGGTATGTATGAATAATATTAGCCAAATTAAAAAAAAATTTTTGTGTCCAGTTTTCGAGTAGTAAACCAATTTTAAATAAAAATTACATTATCAAGACTTATTTCGTTGCTTTTTTTTATTAGAAAATGCTGAAGTTATACGTATATCTTAAGAAAAGACCAAATAAATATTTTTAAAATTTTGCAAATTATTATTTACCATTTTTTACCATCCATTATACCATTTAATAGATATTAATGGGCAGAAGGGAGTCAATACGAAATTTCAATACATACAACTAATTGTTATTAAGATATAGATACATAAGTTACTCATTTTTTGGAAACGTTACGTCGCAAAAGATGAGAAAACAAATTAGTTGTATTTAAAGAAAGTATGAAAATTGAAAGAAAAGAAGAGGCCAGAGTACTTAAAAGAAATTTAAAAGAAAAAAAAAATCTTTAGTCAGCCAGAAACGTCGATCCCTATGTGATTTAAGACAAGTACGTTATGGCGTCACGTTATTAAAGTGAACGAAAGTATTGAACTACGAGTAGTTATAGGTAGAGACGAAAACGCTATGATATGGAATTTTCTATACCTCGTAAGGTGGATAAAGTAATAAATAATTACTAATAATTTTTAATAAAAAAAGAATAGCATTAGATTTTGAAAATGATCATTCGCTATTTTTTTTTAATGTAGGGTACACTTTGGTACTGTATTTTATACATATGGTAAAAAACTAAAAAAAATTCCATACGAAATATATTTCAAACACTAAGTACGATTCCACACAGCATAAGTAGGCCTAAGTTTCGAAAGGCGAGAAATAAAAAATAAAAATTAAGAACTTAATAAATAATCTGCAGAGTTGATCCAACCTAAAAATATTCCCAATTTATAAGGAAACTTGAAATTTATTTATAAGGAAATTTTAAATTTATAAGGAAACTTTAAATTGTTAATAACCTACCAAAAAATATTAAAAAGCTTAAAAAACGAAGTAAATAAAAAAAAAGAAAAACTAAGCGCCTGCCGTACCTGCTACCCGATGAGCACGCGCGCCTCATCTATATATGTACTTCCCCCACCTCAAAAAATTCCCCGCCCCCACACACAATCGTCTGCTCTGCATGGCAGCGGCTTTTAGCAGACGGCACGGGTGTACCCGCTTACAGGCGCGTGTGTATACATATATGTGTATAATACACTCATCGTATAGGGGGAGGGTACCAGAGGTCACCTTCAGATCTCTGCTCTTGGACGACAACGTCTAGAGCTAGAGAGGGATATCACACGGTGGGTGCATCGGTATATCAGTAATCGGCGTCGAGCCCTCTGATGCGACTGTCCGATGCTCGGTTGAGTGTGTTTGCCTTTATAAACTATTCGACTCCAAATAGTTCCTGAATTTTCTCAGTTTTTCTACACTTACACGCCGTTTTTTATATAAATTTTCGTTTTCACCTGGTGAGTGGTATTATCAAGTGCTTATGTGCTCAATGAGGAATACTATACTTTAATCGTATCTGTTGTGTCAGTGAATTTTGCGTGCAACCTATTGCCGACCTTGTCCTTTTGCTAGTGTGTCACATATATTATTACGTCTTTACGTCGTAATTTGTGGTGGTTTGATACTCGAATAAACTGCTTTTTCAGTCAAATTTTGCATTAACGAATGCTGATCTTGTTTGTTTTATAAATTGGTGATTTTTAATAACAACTTCCACTAAAGGATGCACCCAACTTGATAACTTATTGGGTAACTTTGGGAGAATGGGTGAATCAAGGAGAAAGAGGGGTGTTTTGGCTATTGAGGAAACGCTTCTTAGTGCATGGATTAGTCTCACTCTCACCGTGACCTAGTTTCTGTGGTCAGACCTTGACATTGAACACATGTGCAGTGTGTGCGTGTGTGTGCAGATGAAATAGAAAGTGTTGAGTATAGATCAGAACGAAGGGGTGCAATCTATTTTTTTTTCTTTCTTTGATCTGTTGCAGATTTTACAATCTAGTGCTGCTAGTCAATACATTGATCAGCAATCATGGATGAAGAACCAGTTGCACACAGGTTTATCAAACCTGGCAGTCACAGGAACAAAGGTCTTGCTGTATTCACCAGTGGTGGTGATTCACAGGGTTTGTATTTTGCTTTTTATCTTGTGTTGAAATTTCAATTTTGAGTATGTAGATTTACGTAACGCACTGATTCATGACTGTCATGAAAGTTTTAAGTGAAAATTTTTTGATCTTAAAGTTTAATGATTGACAGATGAGTATATATTGTGAATTTCTATTTTTAAATAACGAATTTTATACTTATTTGCCAATGATGCAACACACCACTCTTGGTAGTATGAAAATATAAGAACCTTTTGAACAATATAAACAAAATTTGTTTTTATTTTAACACTTGCTTTAAACTAACACACGTAATTGTATTATGAAAAAGATATTTTTAACTAAAATTTTAAATTCATTTCTCAAGTATTATGCAATACTTTACAGGTATGAATGCTGCTGTTCGTGCAGTTGTACGTATGGGCATTTACCTAGGATGCAAAGTTTTCTTCATCAGGGAAGGTTACCAAGGAATGGTAGATGGAGGCGAAAACATCGTGGAAGCCAACTGGTCCTCTGTATCTTGTATTATTCACAGAGTGAGTTCTGATTATTTGAAAAGCTAGAATAGCTTTATAACAGTTAATCGATAATTCAATTTATTAAGCTTACAAAAAACTTGAATAAACGATGTTGCAGTTAGTTTATTAATAAGCCATCAATTATAGATCCCAACTATTTTTAGACCAAATAAACAAACGCATGAATATAAATTTTTATTGGCAATCGACGCGCCTCACTCATCGAAATTGTTCACCGTCACTGGTATACAATGATTATTGGCCATTGCTAACTTAAAGTTTAAAATCAAGCCGAAAATCATACTTGTGTAATGAAATTTGTTTACGTTTGCCGCTAACTACGGGCTTGTGTGCGTGCTGCGATTTCAGGGTGGCACTGTCATCGGCTCAGCTCGTTGCAAGGATTTTCGAGAGCGTGAGGGCAGGAAGAAGGCGGCCAAAAATCTGGTGACGCGTGGCATCTCGAACTTGGTCGTCATCGGCGGTGACGGTTCGCTCACCGGTGCCAATCTCTTCAAAACCGAGTGGTCCGATCTGTTGAAGGATCTCGCTAAAGATGGTGCAATTAATTTTCTTTCTTTTCTTCCAGCACATCGAGGAGAAAGATCTTACTTTTTCGACAAAATGATTTGCAGGTGAGATTACAGCTGAACAGGCTGAAAAGTACAAGCACCTGCACATCGTCGGCATGGTTGGCTCGATCGACAACGATTTCTGCGGTACTGACATGACGATCGGTACCGACACGGCCCTCCACCGTATCATCGAGAGCATAGATGCCATCGTCAGTACCGCCTACTCACATCAGCGTACATTTATTATGGAGGTCATGGGCCGTCATTGCGGGTAAGTGATCGAAACAACTTCATCATATTTAAAATTAACCTGTATTATACTAGTGGTATTTATATTTTTCACGCACGTTACGCAATTGTGATTTTTTTTTTTTCTCGTTATTTGAACGCGCGATTGATTTTTTGTATTGGAATGTGAAGTCTCTCCGTTAGAAATATTGTAGACCCAAACAAAGTTCTTTTGCTCTGTGTACAACAGGTTTAGTCATAGCCAAGAGTCGTAATAATATGATTTGAGTGATCCTGAACTTGCAACAATCTACCATTATGTAAATTTCAATCCAATTACTTTGAGTGTGTTTAGTAAAAACTTTTTTCACCACATAGAGGTAGTTTACTTTTTCGTTTTTTTGTTCATCGAAACATAAACAAAATTTATAACTTAAAACAATCGTTTATTTTTTCGTGATCACTTTTACATACAAAATTAGATAATTACAAGTCAAGTTCGTTCAAGTTACTTTTTTATCAATGTCAATTTGATACAATCCGTGCAAACTAAGGAAATACGCTGTAATACACTTCAACACGCAAGAAACACCACAACATCAACGCCTCTAACTATGCGCTAACAAAAACAACGAACAGCACAGCTGCTTATTAAAGAATACAATAATTCTGGAAACGACATATAGGTACTTGGCGATCGTGGGTGCATTAGCCGCGGAGGCGGACTACGTATTCTTCCCGGAATGTCCACCTCCCGTCGACTGGCCTGAGAAACTTTGCAAAAAGTTGGAGCAGGCATGTCACATGAGTTTTTATTTTATTTTTCACTCCCAACTTTGATTTATTTATTTATTTTTTTTTTTTTATCATAATAATTTTAATCCCTGTTTATGTTCCCTATCTTCCACCCTTAAAAATCGCCAAAAGTAATGGACATTGGCCCCTCCCCACTATCACGTGCTGTCGTTGTGTTTTTACCTTTGATTTTTAATGATAAATGTATACTAACTACTTTGACTTCTTTTTTTAATTATAATTATTATACTTAGATAGGAAAAAAGTTTGTTTACATGTATATCTTTGTGTATTTTTGATTTGGGAGATGACTGACTGCACATTGATTAATACAAATTTGTTTTCCTCCTTGAGATTTGTTTAGTTAACTGCGTGTACATTCATAACAACTAAATGAGTGTTTACACGATTAATGTTTGAATGTTTTGTATTTTGTTTCATGTCATTATGCGAAGTCTACATACTAATCGCATGTAGATAATATCACTACAGATTGGTGTAAATAAAAACTTTTTTCCATCAGTGAGATTATGTAATTTTTTTCTAGGCTTGCGTTTTCTTTGACCCCCTTTTTTTCATTGGACCACCCACAAATAATAATAATTCACCCGATTTTTTTTGTCTGTGCTTTCATTCGTACAAATCGATTAGAGAATAAAAATAAACTACATAATCGTCGAGCAATATTTACATAACACGTACGAGAATCTTTACAACTGTACCAAAAGATTGACAATCATACAGCGATAATCGAAATACTAACTATTTTTTTTTTCTCTCTCTCTCTCTTCACAGTTTAATTTTCTTCGTTATTTTTCACTTCACGCAGCCCGCCTTATGCATCGGACGGGATTCATTACACCGAAATCGCGCGAATTTCTATCTGTACATGTATGCATTTATCGCTAGATCAGCTAGCCTTGGGAATTATTGTTATTGCCAGTGATGATGAATCAAGTATTGTTCCTTTACACGCATCAGCTAGTACTTAACGATTAATAATATCATGTCGATTGATTGAGTATTTAAATAAAATGTGTACTGCACATAACGTATTATTGTTGAGTAGTGCTGCTAAAAGAGATGTGTATATCACGTAATGTACGTATATGGCTGGTCTTTTATGGCGCGATAAAAGAAAAAGTTTGATAATTGGAGGAGTCGGCAATTGGCGGATGGGATGATAAAACGCAAATTATTTAGGAATTGGCGCGCTTTCATTCAGTTGAGTATTGTAACATTTTGCAGCTATCTGGCTCTGGTGACAGCTATATGTAGCGAGGCAGACTATGTTTTCATCCCAGAGTGGCCGCCGGAGCAGGATTGGCCGAACAAGCTCTGCAAAAAGTTGATGCAGGTTCGCTAAAACAACCACCACACATGTATCATGAAAAAAAAAAATTTATATATATATATATTCTAATTTTTTTCTCTCTTTCTTTTCATTTCTCTCTTTCTCTCTCTATATCTATAATTTCTCTTATCTTTTCTATACTCATTTGCATTTTCTGTCGCCACTATAATTGTACATCATTTTATAGATAAAGAGCGCAGTAAGATTGCATACATAAAAAAAATGTATCTTGCGCTTTTTTTTTTTTTTTTTTTTTTTTTTTTTTCCTTTTTCTCCTCCAATAACACTGTTGCTTATTTAAATTTCCCTTGTTGCAATGCTGATTTTTTTTTTTTTATGTATGTTGCGCTTCGATATATTCAAGTATTGTGAGTTTTATTTTTTTCTTACTATGTATATATACGTCTCGTAGCGTATACATTTAGTTTTTCATAATGCAGTTTTGAATCTATCAACTTAATGAAGCAATAAGGGTTTTTGGAAAACAAAATATCATAGCTGGCCGAGATGAGTTCGAAAAATCGTTGTTCACGAGTTTTGTATGAAAATATAAAAATCGGCATCCTCGTGAATGCGTATGATATGTCGTAACATACGACTTATGTCGCCGTATTGCTTGGAAATTTCATACTATACTAATTGGCGCCTTTCGATGGACAAGATCTGCCGATTTTCGATTAAATAATTTATTCCTTGTATGGTTTGCGTTACGTCAAAATATTTCCGTTTCACGTTTGCTGCCTGTTCGAGCACTTGTTCGCGTGGGAGGATTATACAAATACGATTCACAACACCTCGCGATAAATAAAAAAAATTGAGATTTGTTACACGAAAAAAGTACAATACTCGAAGGGCTTCGCGAAGAAAGAAATACGGTTCGTGCCCTACTACAAAAAATGTGATTCAAGTTTCCCACGAAAAGCATAACGATTCCCAGCTGTAAGTGTACTCTTTTAAGAGTCTTTCTTGTTTTTCGTAAGGAACCTAATACAAGGTTTTTCAATTGTACTTGTATCTGCATGTATATGTACGAGCCAATATATTATCCATTCAGATTCTGCTATCTTTTACATTTTTATTTAAATGCACTGCACTATTGGAAAATCGGCGTTTAGCTTTGCCATTGTATTTTATACTATCATTAATAATGTTGTCGCATTTGCTTGGCTGTATTAAGTCTCCCGATATTTTGGTGCGAATGATCTGTATGTTTAGATTCAAATAAATCCATCAATTTTTCATTTCTCATTTTTTCTGCATACCTATGTGTATATAATTTATATACACATCACTCATTCGTCTTCACTTTACACGGCCATTTGCGTGTTATATTCAGATAAAACGCGCCACTTATACGCGGCTGCTGTGTCCGAGAGTCATATGCTTTTACCGCTTGTCTCTCTCTCTCTTTGTTTTATCTCTTTATATCCTAACAAAAAAAAATGTTGTTGTTGTTGTTGTTTATGTAAGTGTTCGTTCCTGTTTTTTTTTTTTTTTTTTTTTTTTTGTTTACCAGTTGTTGCTTAAGTAAAATAAATTGCGGGCATACACTTGAATGTAATGATTTTCGCCAAAAAAAAACTTTCACATTTATTGTTCACTATTTAAAAAGGGATGCCCATGTTTTTGCGGGAAAAAAAAAAAATTCGCACACGATTGAATTCAAGCATAGCATTGTCGTGCGCTTCTTGCTCTTGCTCTTCCTCGCCTTGCGTACTTCGAGCACCAAGTATGAGAATTCCTCCGTGAGAAAATCAAAATTTTCCCAAAAGCGCCTATATTTGAGGGAAAAAAAAAAAAACGTGCAAAACATGTAACACTCGCCTTTAAAAAAAAAAAACAGGAGCGTCTCACGGGCCAGAGGCTGAACATAATCATCGTAGCCGAAGGCGCCGTGGATAGGAACGGCGACCCCATCACCGCCGAAAAAGTGCGCGAAGTCGTCGTCGAAAAGCTCCAGCAGGACACCAGAATTACCGTTCTCGGCCACGTGCAGCGCGGTGGCAACCCTTCGGCCTTCGATCGTGTCCTCGTAAGTCCAGATCTTCGCAATAATGTCATCATCAGCCATGTGGTCCTGTGCACTTATTGTTTTTCCTCAGGGCTGTCGTATGGGTGCCGAGGCCGTGATGGCCCTGGTCGAGGCCTCGACTGAAACGGAAGCATGCGTGGTCACCCTGGACGGTAATCAGGCGGTCAGGCTGCCTCTGATGGAGTGCGTGCGCCGAACGAAGGCCGTGGCTCAAGCTATGGCCGACAAAAACTGGGACTTGGCCGTGCAGCTCCGTGGAAAGTAAGACATGGGTGATACTTTTTTTTTTTTTTTTTCCGTTCAATTGGCTTTTACGAGCAAGGAACTCATTCGATTGGTTTTTACAGGGGCTTTGTTCGGAACTTGGAGACTTACAAGATGTTGACGCGCTTGAAGGCTCCGGTCGACGTTGATCAGAAGGTGAGATCCATGTTGAAAACGATGAGGAATTTTTTTTTTTTTTTTTTTTTTTCATACAGCAGGTTTGACGATAAAGTGGAGGAAGGGTACATGTACGCATATTGTGATTTTATTACCAAACGTCTTGATCCACTTTCGATTGAACCTGTGTGTAAATTTAACTGCGACTGTTGCTGTTTACCCAAATAAAAAAACACCCATGTTAACCATCACTCTTTTACAAACACGTGTTTTCTTTAATATTGCTTCAGGAGGGAGGTCATCCTACATTGACCAAGGTAATCCAATCACACTTTTCGTCTATTCGTCTATACCAAGTGACTTGAATGATCCCAAACGAAACCTCTATAACATTTTTTCACACGTTCGTTTCCTTTTGTACACCTATAGTCGTCCATATATGAATAAAATTCTCACTATAGTTTTCCCCGTCATTAATAATGGTCTTTTTGTTCCTCTCTTACTATATAGCAATACACAATGTGTGGACAAGTAAGTTTACATCAGACATACCAAAATTATTTTTCGCTGTTTGTAAAAAAAACCAGGAATGCCATTGTCTTTTTTTTCAATTTTTATTATCATTTATGTACCAACTTAAAGTTTTCAAGTTATTTCGAATGAAAGCTTAAACATAAAAATGAAAGTTCGGTCGTTAGGACAGTCACCGAAACCAAAGAAGCTACAGGACGCTTCGATTACGTTTTATTCCTGTTAACGTACGCTCTTGTGTTACCTAACTTTGGTTTCAACAACTCACATAGGGTGGTTTTTAATACAGTCCAACCCAGAAACCATGAATGTTTATTGTCACCACTGTCAAATAAATTAGATTAGAAAGCATTACTAAAAGTGTACCCAAAGGGGTTTTTTTTTTTTTTTTTTTTTTTTTAATTATTTTGATCGTTCAAACTTTGGCGTTGACGCTTAAAAACGCTCGTTATATTTTATTTTTCTTATTTTCAAGCCTTTCAGAGAACCACATAATTTTAATTTAGATATCGCAACTAGGTTTGCACGCTGCTATTGTTCGCACTTCTGCAATGTTTATTATCAAATGTTAAGTGTCGCGACTAAACAATACGAATCTTATTTACAGGACCACTACACATTGGCGGTAATGCACGTAGGCTCGCCGTCGTGCGGTATGAACGCTGCGGTACGTTCATTCGTGAGGAACTGTATCTACCGTGGTGACAAAGTACGTAACAGCTGATTTTGATGTGATTTCAAAGACGGAGAAGAAATAAAACCAATCCTTCCAGGTTTACGGTGTAATGGATGGCGTCTTGGGTCTAGCCACGGGCAAACTCAAGCAGATGGATTGGCCGTCTGTGACCGGTTGGGTAGCCCAGGGAGGTGCTTATTTGGGTACCAAACGAGCTCCGCCAAAGGACGAACAGTTGCCCATGATAGCACAAAAGTTGAAAGAGTTCGGAATACAAGCTCTCTTGATCATCGGTGGTTTTGAAGTACGTACGCCGTGGATTTATCAAATAACTCACTCGCCTGGATAATACGTCCCTTGTAATTTAATACCGTTTTTGTTCGAAAGGGTTTACAAACCGGTCTCAGCTTCTACAACGCCAGAGACAAATTCCCCGAGTTCCGCATCCCGATTGCCATGATTCCAGCTACTATAAGTAACAATGTTCCTGGAACGGAATTCTCTCTGGGTTGCGATACAGCTCTGAACGAAATCACGGAGGTACTAAATAAAATATCATAAATAGATCACAAACTGAGCATGAATTTCGTCACGAGTTTACGTTCTTTTTTTTCCCCCATAAAGATTTGTGATCGTATCAGACAGTCAGCCCAAGGTACGAAGCGCCGAGTCTTCATCATCGAAACCATGGGTGGTTATTGCGGCTATCTCGCCACGCTCGCGGGTCTGGCTGGTGGTGCCGATGCAGCCTACATCTTTGAGGAAAAGTTCAACATCAAAGATCTGAACCAGGACATCATCGCCATGGCGGCCAAGATGTCCGAGGGCGTTCAGCGCGGTCTGATTTTGCGTAACGAGAGCGCAAACTCAAACTACAATACCGAGTTCATGCAGAGGCTATTCAGCGAGGAGGGCAAAGGTCTGTTCAGCTGCCGCATGAATATTATCGGTCACATGCAGCAAGGCGGCTCCCCTACACCGTTCGATCGTAACTTGGGTAAGCGAGCATTGAAATGGGGATTATTGGTGTTGCACGTGCGTAAAATGATAAAACATTTACGAGTGGTTTTATTTAGGTACTAAGATGGGATCAAAGGCCGTGGAATGGTTCACGAATCAGTTGAAAAAGGATGCTCAAGCTGATGGAACGACAGTGTCAAATTCACCCGACAGTGCCGTCATGCTGGGTATCGTCAGACGTCAATACAGATACACGCCATTCAGTAATCTCATCGACGGCACCGACTTTGAGTAAGTCACATTGTTCACTTTATTTCCATCCCTTACAGCCTGATGAGTCATGCACAGTCGAGTTTTAATTTGGGCTCATCTTTATTTATGTTTGTGTGAAAAAAAATTTTTTGGACACGTTGAATGCTCGAATCCTTGGGTTTTTATGTCATCGTGTTTAGCGAAACTACAGTAGAATAAACGCTACTTCTTATTGTTGACAAAAAATTTCTAAAGAAACATTTGGCCATCATCCAGAATCGTTATATTTTCTCTCTTACACCGAGCTGCTCGCATCGCACATGCAAATGTCAAGCGCGTATACACCTCTAAAAATAGAACTCGTTGAGGTTCGAAAAGAAACAATATCGATTTTTTAAAACTTTTTTAAAGTTAAATTTCAAAGATGTTTCGGAAGGTTTTATACGATTAAAAAGAAGGAAGCCCCCATTAAAAAAGAGAATCCTCACTTGTATTTTTGCAGACACAGAATCCCTACTTACCAGTGGTGGATGAAGCTGCGCCCGCTGCTCAAGGTACTGGCGAAACACGATTCAACGTACGAGGAGGAGGGTTTGTACATCACCGTCGAGGAGATGGACAAGGACAACGACGCGCCTCTCGTCTAAATGACCGTCGTCTATTTCGCGTACGCCCCTCAACTTTGCTCTTATTATTTTTTCCTAGCCAGTATTCCGTTTTTTCTTTTACTTTATTTTCACAAAATCTCTCTATGTATGTACCATTGATAATTTTTTGCAAGACGAGCTAAAAATAACAAATTGCTATACTACGGTAAATGCTCGAAAATTGTGCTATAGGAAATTTGAATGGCGGCTCTTTACGTACACGCGCATGTACGTTACAATGTCGTTCGAGACGAGGAGCTGGTTACTTCGTCGTCGAGACGAAATGAGCGTAAATCAATTATATATAAATAATAGTAATAATTAATGAATTGACATGTTCCAATACATTATATTATTTAGTGAAAATTAAATTCAGTGACACGCGGACACTGCACTGCTTTGAATAGAAAAATTAAATATCCAAGTGTGTTCTGTTGCTACAAGGCGGTCGCTGTAAAGATAATAAATGTAGAAAATGTTGTTCAATTATAGAAAATACGTACCCTCCATTTTCTGGAGAGTTATCGGTCAAATGTGACAAACAAATCGTACATTAGAAAAAAGAAAAAAAACATTACTTCTGCTGTCGATCAGCCGTGCGAGGACCTTGATTTTTTTCATATATGTATATTAGTTTTATTTTACATAGATATATTTTATACGAGCCATTTTTTAAACCCCATGAATAAAAAAATATATTTTAGTTTATGATTGATCGCGTTTAATGATTTTTGAATCCTATTATGAAACCGTAACTATCAATCATTCAATCGCACGGCTGACAACAAACTCGACCATCGACGAATGTCCGCAACAGATAAATAAATGAACTTGTAATAGCCGTAGCCAACGCGCGTCCACGTTATATGATACCTCGAAGAAAAGTACGTTAGTGCATGTACGTACCTACACGAAACCACTTTGGCACTGACACAAAAATCAAAGAAACGTACAAGTCACCTCCAAGGCTATGATGTGTATGCAAGAAGTATAGGTATCCTAAAAATTGATCGGGTCGATCCCGATCATATTTAATTGTTTATGGTGTAGAAATAGATAGAAATTGACAGTACAAGAAGCCGGCCGGTATAAGCATATTTCTCGACGATTATTATAAGGCGCAATTTTCTTTCCTGTGTACGTATAATTCTAAATGTTTACGCAAGTTATTGAAGCTGATTGCGATGTTTTTATTCGCTGATCATTAAATATTGTCGATCAAGGCTATGTTGTGTTGTTTTTTGGCCTCTACATATACGCGTTTCATTTAACTCGACGTGTCGTTGTTGTTGTAAAATCGAGTGTTAAGACTCGTAAATAATCCGAAATTCGGACACATCCTATGTGCTATACGTAATGCCGTATTCGTTCCTTTCGTTCGCGCAAGTAACAAAAAAAAGTACACACGAGAGCCGATCGCTGCGCGTAACGAAATCCTCGACGAGCTACGCACGGATTACTGAAAAATCGTGTAAAGCTTGTTTGCTCGTCCGGAAAAAAAAATACGACAACCAATGGAGGATGTATCCCACTATGTCAATCTCTCGAGGAATTAAAATGTTATACTCTTGACATGGCGTAGTGTATACATGTATAGGTATTATTAAAATAAATATCATCTAAAAACCAGATATTTTCAGTTTGCATAAAAGAGCAGTATATATATTTTGTGAAAAGAACAAAAACGCCATTTGTTACAGTGGTGACTAGAACAAAGAAAAAAAGGATCGAATTGTTATATTTTTCGAGCAATAAATGTAAGTCAACTAAATGGTGCGCTTATTAATACAGGTATTAAGGAGGTTCGTTATTTCAAATAAATTTTAATTTGTTGTAATCAACAAAACAACTTGATGAAACCTTACGCAATTTTACGAAATGTTCTATATTGCTAGCAAAGATGTGATATCTTACTCGAAATGATTTTTAACGTGTTTTAATTTTTCTAAGCTTATTTTGTTTATCAGAAATTGCCAGGGGTTTTGAAAACTTATTTGATTTTTTAGTTAATTTCTGAGAACGATATGTAACGAATATTATTACCTCAATATCTCTGCCATTGGGTTTTATGAAGATTTTTTTGTTAATTATTACAATCGAAGGTTCTATTTTAATGTAACAAACCCCCACAGACGACGCAGTATAAGAGTAACAATTTACTGTGAATACTATTATTATTGCCTACTAAAAACAAAAGCGTACAATAATCTAGGCAAATTTAGTTTATTTAGTGAAAATTGTAAAAAATAAAAAAAATGACTAACAATCAAGAAAATGTGGGAGATAAGGGAAAAGAAGAGAAAAAAGAAAAAAAAAAAGGAGCGGCACCGGGGATCGATATATAGGACGCGAGACAGTCACGCCAACGGCGGAAGCTTGTACACACCTGCACGTGTACACGAATATAATATATGAACTCAATCTCCGACAAGCCGCAAAAAATACTCGGTGCCCATTCTTTCTCCTCTTCTTCGGTCCCCTTGTTCTTTTTTGTTTATCAACGCACTCTTCAAACGTCATCTAGTCACATATTTATATTAAAATTTTTTTTAAATTATAACTTTGGAAGCATATCCTCGATGTTCTTCCTAATGAAGCTCCACTAAAATCGATGCACAATTTTTTGTTGGATCTTGCCTTATCTTACTGGTAGGATTTTGATCGTTTTCATGATTTATGGAGTGCCTCATACTAATTATCCAAAGAATTTTTGTATTTGCTGCTTTATTTTTTGTCTCTGGCCTCGGCATCTGTACACCTCACCAAGCCGGAAAATCTACATAATAAAAAGTCTCTTAGCCATTATCTAAGCTATATAATATACGGCAGAACTGCGAGGATTCTTGTTATTGTATTTTTCGTTTGGCGTACAGCCAATTTTTTTTTTTTTTTTTTTTAACTAGCAAATAAGAAACTATAAGCGAGCTGTGATGAAAGATATTTTTTTTTTTTTTTTGTTGCTTTTGGAATTTCTGATGTACTTGCAAGCCTTCGTTTCAGAAGCTGAGAAACAACTGCTCCCCAGTTCTGTTCTTTTTATTCCGAGTCAGTTACAATAATTTCAGACTTACGCAGTTCAATCGTCTTGAGTTGAGATTTTTTTGGAATAAAGTACAGTACCAGGATCAAAGTATTCTCCAAATATAACAAGCACCTACTTCGTGAGATCGACTATTTATAATTTTTTTCGCCTCATTACATCAACACCCTCTCCCAATAACGATCATTTGATAGTTTTCGATTTAATCTTATCTAAAAGTTTTGCCAACATTTTTACTTTCTTTATTATTGGAGGAAAAGTTCTATGTATTTTCGAGAAGCGGCGAATTGAGCTTCTGAAAAGTCTCCGGCGCTTGAATCTTGAAAGTAAGGATTTTTTCCTCTGCTGTAATTAGAGGAAGGAATCCGCCATCGCGTTTGCTCCCTTTTTCCCCTGCGTTTTAAGAAAAGCCGATAAAAAATTTTACTCTCATAAACGCGAAAATCTTGAAGAGAGCGTTTTGACAAATTCAAGTATACCAGTTACTGTTTGAAAAAAAAAAAAAAAAAAAAAANATATGCAATGAGCCGTGGTGAGCAATTGATATGTTGCATACGAATTACTGTTTATGTATGTACGCTTACAGGTGTTTGTACTTGTGTTTGTACGTAAATACGTGTGAACCGTATTAAATTGTATTTCGTGTCGCTATACGTAAATTTATTGGTCTATGGGGGGTAATAGCACGCATTGCCCGTACGAAATAAAAATTTGTAAAAATTAACGATGAATTAATTTAATTTTTTTTTTTTAAATAATTTTTATCATTGCCATTATTGCGCGTGACACTGCAATACCAAAGATTAATTTATGCACATGGTAATAGTAGTGGGTACATCTATATTTTTTACACGTGTATGCAAACAGGAAATTGTTGACCACATAACAGAGTTGGAGCCTCGGAATACAAAGATTTATACAATAGAGGCATAAAACAATGAGTGGAAAGGTAAGCGACCGAAAGGTTCAAGAAAGATATTTTAGAAATACATGAAAAAAAAAAAAGAATGGCAAAAAGTTGAAAGGTAAAACAACTATATTGTTATGAAAATGGTAAACAACCAGAGATTGATAGATGAAAAACAAAAAAAAAAGAAATATCCAACATAGGGACAAAGGCGGAGCCACGGAAACTTGGCCACACACAATCGCCGAATACATTATATTCTTGGTTAGTAATATGGATTACACTCCCAATGATTGTTATAATAGAAGCTCGAAGGGTTGTCGCGCGGTGAGACACGAAGAAGGGCGAAGCCCCACAGTGTCCACTTATATATATATATTATGTACACGGACAAATATGCTTAACCGATGACCGCAAACGTAGGCTTATATCCGGTGAAACGTCGTGATGGAATCCGAGCACCACCGATGACCGCACTAAACCTACTTCCCTTGCCCTTACCCTCCATTCGAAAAGCTCCACCATCATCATCAGCAGCAGCTATAAGTGCAGAGAGAGAGAGAGAGAGAGGGTAACATCTTAGTCAAACAGAGTAGTATGCGAGTGTGTACGTACAAGTTGACACAAATGGCAGTGATGATGGGTGCAGTAAACCATAGCACGCGCAGCTGTACAGTGGGCGTGGTGGGCCGGAGCAGAGAGAGAGAGAGTCACATCATAGCCTACGTACCTAAAATGTACCCCTGTATGCGTGTACCCCACGAACTTGCACCCAAACGAAAGTCGCTTACACGTATACAGAGGCCTGAACTTGTGCAGGAGAACGAGAGAGAGAGAGAGAGAGAGAGAGATTGCATCGAGGGCAAGGGACGGAATCAGAAAGCGGTCCAAAAGCCGAACACGAGGGAGAAGTATCAGTGCGATGGTTCCCAAGAAAAGCAAACTCGCAACTTCATGGAAAAAAAAAAATAATAAATAAATAAATAAAATAACAAGAAGAGAAACCATTATTCTCGGTGGAGCAGGAAAAAGAAAATTGCAGAACTCGGGAGGAAAAAAGGAATAACCCAGGCGGCAGACTCATCCTGTTAAAAATTTACACCCATCCTTCCTCTCTCTCTCTCTCCCCGGCAAGGAATTCCCTCGTTCGATTCCCGCGCTCCCGGAGTAAGGGGTCTCGAGCCCGTGTCGTACGCGCAGACACAGGGAAAGACTCGACAGAGCCAAATTGAAGCTGAATCTCGAGGACGACTTTATATTCGGAGTGTGGTGCACGCGCGAGACAGTAGGTACAGCAAAGGTAGAAAAAAAAACGCGTGTGCCCTATCTCTTCCTTTTTTTTTTTCCTCAACTCCCCGGCTGCAGCTTTTGCTGTTACACACCGACTTGGAAATTCGCTTTAAAAAGTTCACCCGAGTCGACCGAGCCCCTCGTACGCTTTGCCTGAGTTTTCAAGATTCATTTTGAGATTCGGGCCGCCGGTGCAGAATGCACCTTATCACATTTTATTCTCATACCGAGTCAAACAAAGGAAAAGCAGAACCATTTGTTTACCTTGGGATCTCGGCCGCCGCGTGTGATACACCGAGCGAAGGGGGTGGTGGGGGGTGAAAAAAAACTCCCTCTCTCTCGAGAACACTATCATCCTCATCCGAGACGTGTTTAATGGGGCCTCGGGATCCGGTTACAAATTGGTTGATCGATTTCGTCGACGCGCGCGTGCCTGAAATTCTTAACGAGGTTTAAACCATACTCGCCGTAGATAATACTATACCTGGCGGCAAATATCGAAGGTCAATCAAGGCATCCCCCCATTAACAATGTTTTGTTTTTTTTTCGCCCATCCTATGAATACATTTATTCACTAAACAGAGGACAATTATTTCTTTCTTTCGAGGAAACCTCGCGCACGTCGCAATCGCAAAAGCAGCGCCGTGCGAACGGGCACAATGAAGTTTTTAATTAATCACAACAACGAGCTGCAAGCTCGGAGGAAAAAAAAACAAGGAGTGACAACTTGGGTGGAAAAAAAAAAAATACGCGCACCACGGGAATTTTTGTTTTTTTTTGTTTTTTTTTGTATTTAATCACAATTGAATGCAAACTCGGGGGGAGGAAAAAACATGACAAAGACGCGACGCGGTTTTAATTCAGATGTATGTGACGTCGAGGCGCGTACTCGACAAAAGGGAGAAAAGGGCGAGGGCATGGAAATTTGCCAACTCAACCATACACTTTGCTGCAGCAGCAGAGCACTGTATGTATGTATAGGGGGGAGGGGGGACAAATTAAATGCGAGAGGGAAAAGGGTGGAGCCCCTACGAGGGAAGCAGAGGGAAATTCAAGGGTGATGGCTCTTTGTGAGTGCGAGCGAAAATTGCGGAGCGAAGCGCACACGGGGAAGTTACCATGAAAGGGATTGCCGGTGAAGGGTGGGAATAAATGTGAAATTGTCAATTTCAAAATAGGTTTCTCCCTGCTTGCTCGGGAAAAAGTGAAATATTGCGGGGCTTTCGTTTGAGTCGCTGTACACGCGGATTGTGGATTCAAATCAAATCCAATGACACACCCGACTATACGAGTCTAGTGTGCGCTGTAAACTCAATTATATTCGTTTTCTTCAATGAACGATTCAATTTTTTTTTTTTTTTTTTTTTTTAATTATTTTGATCGATCAAACCAAATTTACGTCACTCAAATGACACAGCAAGCTACAACTTTTTTTTTTTTTTTTTAATTTCGCTCGTTACCCTTTTTTTTTGGATGAATGTCGACCTGCGACTTTGGAGAACTATCCTCGCATTTACCTCCCGTTACTTTCCTAAATGTGTCCGCCTTACATCCAAATCAACGATCGTCCGCGCACAAAAGTGATTTTCGCATGATTACGCCTTTTACCAGTAATTATGCACAATTACGTGTGCTACTCCCTAAACGACGGAAAATCCAAAAATTGCTACCCATTATTACCCACCTTATTATCCAAATATCGAATAATTACCAAGTTAATAGTATACGCTATTTAGTAGAACAAAAATAAAAACTCGTATACGCCCGCCTAATTGGTACGTAGTAATCACTAATGCATGCAATTAGCTATTATTATTCGCTTATATTATGCAGCACGTATATATACAACTTGTACTTGCTGGCGTTGTATACAATATAACGTGTGTACGGTATAGGTACACGTCGTACAAGCAAATGGCACGTGTAAATCAAAAGTTACAATTTGCCGTGTCGTATACGTAATACTATTCGCATACATATGCAATGAGCCGTGGTGAGCA